GCCGCCTCCCCCGCCGGCTCCCCCCGGGGCTCGCGCCCGGCCTCGCCGGCGCCCGGCCCGCAGGCGCCGCGGGTGGACCTGCAGGGCGCCGAGCTCTGGAAGCGCTTCCACGAGATCGGCACCGAGATGATCATCACCAAGGCCGGGAGGTAAGAGCCAGCGGCGCCCCGGGAGCGCCTCCGGCCCCGGCTCCTCTCGGGGCTTTCTCTCCCCATTTCCGAGGAGCCCCCGGCCGCGCCCTCTCCACTCCTCTCCTCCCCGCCTTGCCCTCTTTCAGGTGGCTCCAACACACCGCTCTGCTCAGTCCTCCTAATGCAATGCCAAGCCGGAGTGCTGCCGAAGCCCCTCACGTCCCCGTGCCACCCCACCCCACTCTTTCTTTTTTAAATATATTGCTTTACTTCTTTTTTTCATAGACAGCAAAAATATCTGCTCAGTCTCTTCACAGACCGCACAGATCATTTCTAATCACGATATGCGGGGCCGGCAGGCGGGCACACATCAAAGTGGACAAAGCCCATTGATTTATGGGCCAGGTAGAGCCGAATACACTCCGAGATGGGCACAGGAGCATGTGGGCTCCTAGGTTTCCTGTTCATTAGGGTGAAGTCTATGAATGCTGCTCTGCTCAAAAAGAAACTTTCTGCCCCCCCCACCTCCTCCCTTTCCAGTGGATACACATGGTAAAAACCTGGCTAGTATAAAAGTATCTGAACTTATTAGAAATTACAAAAACATATTTTATTGAATCCATATGCTACCTTCTACGTTTTCAGAGGACTTTTCTTAACGATTGAAACGCAGTCTTAAGCAGCACAAAGCAACATTTTGTCTTGAGGGTTGCATCAGGTTTTGTTTTTTATCTTACAGGTGCGCTGAAAGAACAGTAAAAGCTAGTTAGCCCCAGTCAACTGCTTTAGCAAAGATAGAGGCGACTTTTTATTTCTTTCCACAATTAACTTGTAACTCCATTTTCATGACCTGAAACGGCATTTAGATTTATCAAATAAGTAAATGAAAGGATGGGTTGTTTTCACATTGGTGGTTTTTTTTAACAGTCAGTGAATTATTATAATTAACCTAATTATTATCAAGCGTCTTATTTTTGGCATTTTGAACAAACCTAGATTAAAAAAAAAACTAATATCAAACATAGTAGATTTAAAACAAACAAACAAAGTTTTATTTTAAATCTCGGTGGAGTTTAATTGTTCCGTTTTGGCAGTGCAACAATTTGAGTTATGAAGTTATTTATAAATGTACATTGTACTTTCATTTCTGCTTTCAATAATGAAGTTTTACTATACCTTTCAGCCATAGACCATGTCTCGCACGTCACCTTTTTAGTATGTTGCAGACAGGAAGTCCTGTCTCAATAAAGAACATATTGTTTGGTTATAGCATGGCACATTGGTTTTTATAACTGCATCCTTGTAGTTCTATAATTGTATCACTGCGTATTTAGTATTGTAATCTGATATACGATTCGGGTATCATTTGACGCTTTTATTTAAAACCTTACTGACAATTTAGATTTTTGTAACGAGAAGTCTTCCTAGGTAAGCGCTCTTATTTATACATCTCATGAAGGGCACTTCTAGTTAATACCTCAAACAGGCTTTCAGCTAAAATAAACTCTCAAAACAAAAATGATTTACTATTTAACAATAAAGTCAAAATGATGTGGTAATAGTTGTACTCCCAAAGCAAACCACACAACATATAAAGCATTTTTCAGCTAAAATGCACTTTATAAACCTGTTTTGACATCGAATGGAGCATTTCATAGCTTTGGCCAATAATAAAAAGACTCTATAGACTTTTCTATATGATGAGGGGGCTGGTGAATCCCACCAACTCATTAC